AGGCACGCGAGCGCGGGGGAGAGGGGGAGCGCCTCTGAGGACGCCGGCAGCGGAGCAGCCCAGGTGCGCCTGGGGTGCCCCGCTGCCCGAGCCCCCCCGCCACTTTTCGGGAGGGGGGGAGGGAGGGGGGGAGGGCAGCGGGGCTGCCTCGCTGCCCGAGCCCCTCCGCGGCTTTGCTCCGTGTCTTCCTGGTCTGCAGACCAGGGAGACGCAGAGAAAGCCCCTGGAGCACACGGGCGGCAGGACCACGAGGTCCCGCCGTCCGTGTCCTCCGGGGGAGCCCCGTTCGTAACTGCAGATCCGACATAAGTCGGATCCGCGTAAGTCGGGAACTGCCTGTACTCAATTTTCAAAGCTTTTTTTTTTAATTTGATGTTTGTTCCTTGTCAAGTTCTCTGAAGTTCTATGGGCTGGCCATGAATTTTGTAAGTGACTAGAGGCTTTTTTATTGGTTTTTGTTCAAAATGTCCTGTAATGTCATTTTTATCACTACATTTTGTGTGATAGATAGACATAGATAAAAATGAATATATTATACATGGCTCTTTGCACTCTGTCCACAGCTATTTTGGCTCTTAGTCTCTGAGGGTATGTCTACACTACAGTGCTATTTCGAATTAACTTAATTCAAAATAGTTAATTCGAATTAAGCTAATTCGAAGTAACGCATCTATACACAAAAACTGTTTCGAAATAGCATTTTGCTATTTCAAAATAGAACAATTCGAACTAGCATGTCCACATTGAGTGGACCCTGAACCGAGGTTAAGGATGGCCGGAAGGAGTGCCGGCAGGGCATCAGATTAGGACTTAGAGTGTGGAGCTGCTGTCTCAGGCTAGCCGAGAGCTGTGCTTAAAGGGTCCTGACCTCCACCCCGACAGACAGTTCTCAGGGGTTCCCCGCTCGCTTGTCTAACTCGATGAGGGACAGCAAAGCAGTCCTGTTTAGGAGTGCCCTGAATGCCCACACTCGGCACATCACAGCACTCGGCCATCAGCCCGGCTGCACTGGCTGCAGGCTGCCATCCGGGGGTCCATCAGGGGGCTGTCAGGATCCAGGAGGCCCTGAGGGAGAGCGTCCACCCAGAGGAGCCCACAGAGCTACCCTAGTCCTCCCCACCAGGGGCTCATGCCCCATTCCTCCCTCACGTCCTTCCATTTAGCCCTCTCTAGGCCCCCTTCCTGATGTCAAATAAAAGACATGTATGTTCAAAAATTGAAACTGGATTTATTGAACAAAACTGGGGGGGGGATGAACCTCTGGGGAGACTGGGAAAAGGAGGTGAGAGATGGGAACAGAGAGGGTGGAAGAGGGGAAAGGAAACCTGGGAGGAGGGTGCTGGAAGGGGGAAGCCAGGGGAAGAAGGGGGAGGGGAATATCAGGGCTCAGGGTTGGGGGTCTCACCGGACCAACCTGAATTTCATGCTCGGCCACATTCTTCCATCTAGGGCTGAGATCATGGATGTTGGGGGCATCCCCCCCAAACCTGAATAAGGTCCATGATCTCCACCCTGGACCAGGAAGGTGCCTGCCTTCTCCAGCCCCTGGCAGGCTAACAAGGGAGGGAGCTGCCTGCCGCTGGCTGGGGGGCAGGGCTGGAGGAGAGTGAGTTAGTTTTCTGTCTGGGAGCATAGAGGAAGCAGCCTCAGCAACAGGCTGGGAGGTTTAGAAGCTGAGACATCCCCTTTAATGTCTCCCGGGCTGGGGGAGAGGAGAGTAAGTTTTCCTGGTTGTGCCCAGAGTGGCCAGCAGGGCTCCCTGGGAAGGGCTGGAGGCCCCCTATTTTGAATTAAGTGTCTACACGGCACTTAATTCGAAATAGCTATTTTGAATTTGGTGTTACTCCCGTAGAATGAGGTTTACCAAATCCGAAATAAGCGCTCCACTGTTTTGAAATTAATCCACAAGTATAGATGCTATTAAAGTTAATTCGAAATAATTGCTGTTATTTCAAATTAAGTTTGTAGTGTAGACAGACCCTGAGAGATCTGGTCTGTTATACAAGAGGTCATACTGTAAGATCACCATATTCCTTTTTGGCTTTTAAATATGTTAACTGTTTGTTGTTTGGTGAATTTTGAGAAAACAGACAAGGCCTTTTTTGAAAGCTTCCATAATATCGGGGGTGTTTTCAATAGAGAAATGTACTGGACTCAAAATTTTATTTTGGAGAAGGAGAAAGTGATTCTGATCCCAGCTCTGTTTTGCTCTGTGCAGACTTTTTCTCTTGTCATTGGCGGTACCTCTACACTGCCCACTGATTTCAAAATAAGCGATTCTGGAAGAAATACTCCAAAGAGCGTATGTCCTCTCCCTGGTCTGTGGCTCTGCTGCCTCCGGAAGGGATCTGCCTAACTCACCAGGGACAAAGCCTCTCTGAGCTGGGAGCAGACACTGAGCCTGGGACAGAGCCAGTCAAGGGGTCAGGAAGCCATTTCACAGCATGTGCCAGCCGCAAGGAGACCCTGCCAGTCTGTGTATTTACTGGGATTGTGGGCAGGCCCGGAGTTACAATTTCATGGGGGTGGTGCTAAGATTGTAAAGTCACATCTGCAAACACTTGTCACTCCCTCGGCCTGCCGTCAGCCTGGCTGGGCCCCTCCATCCTACGGCCGGCCCTGGGCGGGAGGGGCGGGGCAGAAGGCAGACGAGAGAAGGGAAAGTTCTGAAATGCAAACCCCTGTGCCTGCCTCGTGGGATATAAGGCCCTGGGCTGAGCGGGGCCTCGTCAGTCAGCGGGAAGAGCTGACACCAGCCCAGTGCGAGAGCCAGAGGCAGCAGCAGCCATGTTGTGGCTCCGTTGTCTTTGCGTCATGGCCGGGTGCCTCCTGTCAGGTGAGCGGCGCGGTGCAGCCTCCTCTCAGGTCGGGCTTTTCCCATCTCTCGGGGGCGGGTCATGTCAGGGGGCCGATGCTTTTCTGCTTGGGCCGGTCTCTGAGGGGTTTCCACAGCAACCGACCCCAGCGAGGTGTCGTGCACCTGCCTCCGAAGGGCCTGTGGGAGATTCCCTGGCCCAGGTGGGGACAGGCCAATTCCCCTGTTTGTGTTTCTTTCCCAGGTTCCACGGCCGCGATCACCTTAACCCAGCCCCCTTCTGCCCAGGCAGCGCCCGGCGGGTCCCTCACCCTGGACTGTGTCGTTGCCGGGTACAACATCAATGACCATCATTTGCACTGGATACGACAGGCCCCCGGGGAAGGTCTGGTCTGGCTGGCAGCCTTCAGAACCGGTTACACCACCCACGTCGCGCAGGCGTTCCAAGGGCGGCTCACCCCCTCCACCAGCGGCTCCACTGCCCGGCTGAGGGTCGACAGACTGACAGCTGCCGACACGGCCACCTACTACTGTGCAAGAGAGTCACAGTGCTCCCTTCGCAGCTTCCTCTCCTACAGTAACCTCATGGGCCTGGGTTCTCCTGCCTCTGCCTGAAATCCAGCCCCTTGCCCGAGCCTGCGCCTGGGAAAGCTCCCAGAGAAGCCCCTAAAATAAGGCCTGGGGGTTAAACAGGCTGCGGGGGGAGTCCCCTGCATGGGGGAGAACGTCTCTCCCAAGAAATTAATCTTGCAGCGTTACCCTCAAACACAGCCTCAGGCAGCACCGTCAGCTCCTGGCTAGAGCGCTGGGCTAGGAATCCGGCCCGTCGAGTTCTCTGCTATTGCTCTGTGGGGTGGCCTGAGGTAATTCACTTCTACCTCCTCCCCTTTCCCTGCTCTCCCTCCGTCAGAGGAGACTGGTTCATACGGTTTTCAGGGGAGCCCAGAACGGGACCAAATCCTGCCCCTCCCCCCACCTGCCTTGCAAGCACATATATCGCTCTAAAGATTTTAGGGACTTGTGTGTCTGTCTGTGAGTCCGATTGCTCATGAACTCCTCCTAAACAGTCAGGGCTAGGACCAGCAAACGTGCCAGGCAGCGTCATCTTACCCTAACTTAAAACAAGGTGCGGGTTTGGTTGTGCCAGGAGAACAGGAGGTGCTGGGAATGGGACTCTTTTCCATAACTCGGAAAGGGAGGGGCACAGAGAAGGAGGATGTGATAGACATACTTGTCTGTGAGCACATGTGGTAAGTAGCCCCATTGCCCCAGTCCCTGCCCCATCCCTTGCCCAAAGGGGGATAGAAGGTGCAGAGGGTGGGTGGAAACATGGCTGGGTTGGGTCTGGCAAAGGGAGGGGAGGTGGCTGCAGCTGGTGTGGGGTCCTCCAGGCTGGTGGCAGGTGCGGGGATGCCCAGAGCCAAGGAGGGAGCACTCCTGGAATATCTGGGGGCAGGGTTCCGGCCCTGGGGAAAGGAGGGGTGGGGGTCTGGGGCCCAGAATTGCAGTTGGTTTCCAGGCCATACCACTGCATGTGTGGGTGGGGGAGGGGAGACAGAAGTCTATGAGGAGGAGGGAAATTTCTGAAATGCAAATTCATTTGCCTGCCGGGGAGGATGTAAGAGCCGGGCTGACACCCGGCAAGAGGAGCGAATCGCACCCCCCCCCCCACCCCGCCGC